CTTGTGAGCATGCACAGGCACTGAGGTCATTCAGTAAACACAGTGAGGAAGACTATCAGAGACCAGCAGAGACCCCCACTCAGCAAGAAAGCGCATGTGTAATTAGGATGCGAATATTATAATTAGTTCCCGGGAATATCATGAATATGTAAATAACTTCCTGGGAAAGCTGTAAATATGCATGAGTATGCTAAATATAGAGCTGCTGCCGGCAAGTAATGGGTGCACTCACCTTTGCGAAATGATTTGCATGTGTGCCCAACACCGCACTAAAGAATGCTGCTGTCTAAAACTCCACAGTCTTAGAGTTTCTCCAACCAACTTTTATAGTAACAATTTGGTGCCCTAACAGGGACCCTCTGCTGTGTTTCCCGTGGAACTGGGGAGCCTCTGGGACCTTCACGCTGGCATCAGGGGAGTTTCCCTGAAAGGAACCCCAACTCCCCGGACCTTGGTATGATCCCTGGTTTTATTTCTTTAAAAAGACATTCTTTCTGGTCCCTTAGCATGTTAGTCACAGGGGATGCCCTGCACGGTGGGTGAAGGTAGTCTGGTTCTCGTTCTGGTTGTCCAGACTCTGGTGTGTGGGTGGAGGTCAGGATGTTGGGTACCACTGCATCCAAAAGGGGAGTCCTGGAAAGCTCACTGCTGGGTTGTGTTTTGCAACACTGGAAACAAAGTGGTGGGTCCCCGGGTGGTTTGGTTTCTCTGATAAAACACTGTAATCAATGGTGGCCATTGTACAAACTGGATTTTGAGGAAAAGTTGCCTGTGAACAGCACAATTAATTATAATACTTTGTTACAATTGATGTTATTCTTGAGACGAGAAGGAAAGTGGGATGAAGTAGCTTATGCAGAAACGTTTTTCACTTTGAGAAGCCATTTGGAATGGCAAAAGGATTGTAGTTTTAATCTTGCACCCCAGGACTTGTTAATATCTTGGAGAAAGATAGTAAAAATCACTTAAATGCTGTTACTCTTCGTGCAGCGTAGGACAGTTATGTGCTAAACATCTGAGGAATGTGGAGAAGGAGGATTTGGATTTGATGGCAGCCCCGCAGAGAAGGGATATTGTGAACAACAGGGCCAAATGTGCTGACAATGAGAATCAAGCACAAGCACAGGCATCAGAGATCTTAGAGGGAGCTGAAGTATTTAGCTCTATAGCAGGGTGCACTAGGGGAAACAAGGAGAAACTGTGACTGCACCTTTAAGACATGCCGGCAATGATGGTCCAGTCATGATAAAGATTCCCTTTACCATTATAGATTTGAAGATTTGGAAACAAGTGGCATGGTAATCATGCTTTCGAGAGTGTTGACAGGGATATGATTATTCACACAGCTCAGACCGCAGCAGAGCAACAAATAACAGCAGGCACATTGGCAGGTACAGTGAATCTTCACGTACCTACCACCGATCCCAGCTGGGGCCCTAATCAGGATCAGGACAGACAAGCTATCAAAGGTGGATTTTATTCGGTATTAAGAATGTGGTCCCCAAGGCAGTGAACAGGTTTAAGCTATACAAAATAAAGCAAGATATAAATGAATCACCTTCTGGAATCGTGGGAAGATTAAAAGACGTGATGCATAAATATACTACTATTGATCCTGAATCAGAGGAATGAAGGAGAGAATTAGGCCATTTAATAAAAGGTCAGTCTGTGGAAGATATAAGGAAAAAGATACAAAAGCTTAAGGGGGAAGACCAGTCTGATTTGGGAAAAATAATGGATGTGCCCTAGGAGACCTATCCCAATCGGACCACCACTGCGCTGGTGCAAGTTCCCTGAAATAGTTCAAATGGTAGTGGAAAGGGGGATGAGTCCCCAGTTATTAATATATATATCAATATAATTATTAATGTAATACAGTGTGTATTGTGGGTTATAGTGTGTTGAATTTCAACTAGGTATCTGTTATTGTATATGTGGGGGCAGAAGATAAGCTCCAGATTAAAATCAGAATGTTTAGGAAAATTGTTGGCTGTAGCTCTCACCCAGGAAACCAGGAAAGAGGGGAGTGGCTTGGGAGGAAAGAGTCGGAAAGAAGGGTTACATGGAAAGGTTTGTGAACAGACTCCATGGGTTGCACCGGAAGAGGGAATGCCCTGAGAATCAAAATAAAATCCAGAGATTAAGTGGAATGTCAGGACAGGCAGAGAAAATGATGACTTTAGATGAAGACTAAGGAGGACAGGGGGAAGATTCAAAACCCTCTCCAGCAGAACCCCTGGCTACAGTTAGGTTGGGAATGATAAGGTAAAATTTCTTGTAGAAACAGAGGCTACTTATTCTCTTCTAAATACTTGTAAAGGGCAATTAAGCAAACAAACAGCTTCAGTCATTGGTGCCACAGGGTGGACAGGAACCCTGCCTTTCTTTCAACCTTTAAATTGTAAAAATTGGCAAACAGGTGTTGACCCATCAATTTCTTTACACGTCTGAGTGCCCCATGCTGTTACTGGCTAGAGATATACTGAGTAAGTTACATGCATAAATTATGTTTAAAGAAAGAAAGTTCAGATATACGTTCCTGATGAAAAGGCTGTGGAGGTCCAAGTTTTACACTACAGAAACCACCCACTGAGCCAGATATACCAGGAGAAGTGGAGAATGCAGTCACACCAGTAGTATAGGCTGCAGAACCAGGAACTATTCATCATTTCAGACATCAGACCAGTAAGATGGGAACAATATCCCATAAGATTGGAAGGAAGAAAAGGACTAGAGCCTGTAATAGAAAATTTTATCAAATACTTTGGGACAAAAATGGACTGTATTTGTACTTCACATGGTAACAACCATTCTGGAACAGGAAAGCAGTCATTGTCTTTCCCCAGGCAGGCTGTTAAAATATCAGGCTGTGCTTTTAGAACAAGAGGACATAGAATGGAAAGGAACTAACATTTTGAACACAGCAGTGGTTTTCAAAACCAATCCAGAAGCAGGAGAGCTGACTCACAACTGTTTACAGACTATTGAGCAGGTGTATTCCAGGCATACCACCTGCAAGATACATCCCTGAAGGATGTGCACTACAAACTGCTTGTTGATGGTAGCAGCTTTATGAAAAATGGAAACTGGAAAGCAGGATACGCTGTGGTAACCAAACATGGGATCATAGACAGTTTTGGAATTGTTAGTAAAAATTTGCTTTCAAGGCATATCAATTTGATAACACTCCGGTGAATATTGGTAGTCGTGTTGCTGACAAAGCAGCCAAAGAAGCTGTGGGTGAGGACCTTATATTAATATTGCCTCATAAGTATCAGTGCTTGGATAACGAAGTTCCAAGTTATCAAACCAAGGATGAGGAATTACCTAGTCTATTAGGAGCCAAGAAGAACGGTGTGTTACATCAAACAGGCAAGTAGTAATTTCACAGCCTCTTGTGAGAAGAAAACCACCAGGCAACTTATGGGGGAACAGAATCAATTGCTTAGTTAAGGATACGAACATAGCCAGGAAGGAATCATGTTAAGTCCATATGAACTGATGTATGGGTAGCCTTACCAACTGCCTTTTGTTCCTGGTGATATGTCTTTGCAGGGGAAACAGGATCTCAGAAAATACCTGCTGGCACCAGGTTAAAACTCTGGTGATATCTTGGTAGGACATTACCCAAACTGTATCTGGACAATGTAACTTCAGATCAAAGAACCTCAGACAGGCTATTGGAATGCTCCAGAAGGGAAAGGGTGATATTGGTTGTGTCATAATATTGCTAGAAAAGCCCTTCCCCCAGGATGGACCGAACATGTACACTGAGTGTTGTACTCATGGATATTACAATAATCAAACCTCTCCAACCAGAAAAAGGACGGATAAGAACCTTCCTAAAAAGGACCAAGATATTCCGTAACGCCATTGTTGATTGTCCTACAAAATGTCACAGTTTTGTGAGATGGTTTCTCCCTTGGTTGGGGGTGAGTGAATTAGAAAAGATGATCATAAATACAGCAGCAGGAACTGAAACATCAAAGACAACATTATAGATGCTAAACAGGCATTACAGATTGAGGTATCCAGCCTATCTCAGATGACACTGCAAAACCGTGTGGCACTTGATCAGCTATTATCTTCCCAAGGAGGTGTTTGTACAGTTATAAACACAAGCTGCTGCACATACATAGACCAGAGCGGCAGGATATCCACAGATCTGGCAGATATCTGGAAGCAAGCTAAGGTCTTCTATCAGGCTGCTGAAGGTGATACTTCCTGGGGATTTGAAGAATTATGGCATGGACTTACTTCTTACATGGCTACCAAATTGAATATGGTTAAAAAAACCTCGTTTGTAATGACCATCAATAATTTGTGTCTGTATCCTAGCATGTATGATGATTTAATTTTGTAGTTGTTGGTCACAATGGTGTATTAGAATCAAATATGGGTAAAGGGTATAGAATGAGATCTACAGGATATATGTATATATACATATATATGTATACATATATCAGGATATATACATATATCCTGTGTCTCAAAGGGGAAAATGTAGACTCAAATTACAGGTTTAAACTAACAATAGAGGTGTGACTTTAAAGTAACATAGTAGAATAGAGCAAACTGTTCTAACTTGCTAACACGTAGAGAGAAAGAAATGTTGGGCTGACAAGAGAAGGAACATCATGGGACTGATGGCAACTAAGGAGACAATAAATCAGACCAAGGATGCCAGCCTTTAAGAGAGTAGAGTGGCATCCAGTGTGGAATGGAACAGATGCGAGGACGTACCAACTGCTAACTCAGCACTCGGACCTTGTGAGCGTGCGCAGGCACTGAGGTTATTCAGTAAACACAGTGAGGAAGACTATCAGAGACCAGCAGAGACCCCCACTCAGCAAGAAAGCGCATGTGTAATTAGGATGCGAATATTATAATTAGTTCCCGGGAATGTCATGAATATGTAAGTAACTTCCTGGGAAAGCTGTAAATATGCATGAGTTTGCTAAATATAGAGCTGCTGCCGGTAAGCAATGGGTGCGATTTGCATGTGCACCCAGAGCTGCAATGAAGAATGCTGCTTTCTGAAACTCTATATTGGGTCTTAGGGAGTTTCTCTGACCAACTTTTGTGGTAATAGTATTTTTAATTGGCAACAAATTACATTAATTTTCTCCAAACCAAGTCTATTTTGCCCATGGTAGGTGATCTCCCTGTTTCAACCCACAAGCTTTTCCATGATGGTTTCTCCTTGTTTCCCTAATGAGGAGGAGGAGGAATGAGTAAACTGGTGGCCAGCCAAGATCAGCCCACCACAGCCGCTTTGTGGAGACTGAACTAAAAAATAACTTTAGTTCAAACTTCACCACTCCTGGCTTCTTGAATAATGACGTCTTCCTGGATAGCAGGACCTCACTAAGATAATGTTTTTTCCTATATTGTACTGAGCTGTGTCAATTTTACAGTTCTTGATGTATGAGAGGCGAGATTTATCTCATGAAAAGATTATCAGTGAATGCTTGTGTTTAAGTGAAATGATGCCAGCTGAATTCACATCCCCTTTGTTCTGCTTTTAGAAATATTCTAGCAAGCATAGTCAAAGAAAATTGTGAACGGGTGTTAGGAGTTTATGTTCAGTAAATGCTACTGAACATAGAGCAATTTGTTTGTTTGTTTGTTCTTTTTATCTTTTTTCCAAAAGTATTTTCTCCAAAATCTGATTCTTAGAAATCATTCCCATCCAGGCAAGGAAGTGAAATACACTATGTGACTCATGTGTCTTCCTAAACCAATCAGTACAAGATTGAGTTTCAAATGATGTATTGAATAACTTCACCCACTTCCTAATGTATTACTAACAGTTCAAAATTATTGCCAGACATTGTATCATTTTGAATCATTTTCTCAGCTCTAGGTGTCAGTCTATTACAGTTTAATTGATTAGTTCAGGAGTTTCTTAAACTTAATTCTCATCCTTGAAGCATGCTCTTTAGAATTCTGTGACTCACAGTCACATGTCACTTAAATTCACAGTGAAGAAACTATGAAAACCTGCAGTATGTAGCATATTCAGTGCAGATGTATTTTCTTTCACCATGATATACTTCAAATTATATTAAAATCAGTTCGAGTTGCAGCATTAGTGAACAACCAACATTGTTCTACTCGTATCTTAATCTCTGTGCCATACCTGCTTGCTTATATTCTTTCACTTTAAAGGCAGTCACAGTATGTTTCAAACACAGTACCTAAATGGCATGTACAGTATGCCCATAGGGCCAGACTGGGATCTATTTGCTAGATGTACAGTGTACATTTTAAGGCACACTATAGGGATTGAGTTTACATTTTGATAACTCTGTCCTTTTATTTGCAATGATGGTCACTACCTGGAAATGTTGCAAAAATAAACATTCATCTCTAAGAGTGGCCAATGTGTTGATGTTTTCATTTTGTGTTTTTCTCAAGAAAGAATGTGTGAGGATGTGAACTTCAGGGCATTTTAAAAGTAATGTAAACTACTGTGTTACATTTTATATACATAGATATGTCTTGATCTATATCTAAATATATAAAATGATTGTAGGAGCTCATATAAGCTTAGTTTTAGTACAGTACTTCAAATATACTGGTACTTATTTTCAGTTACACTTCTGCACTGCTTCTTTCTAATGCAGAGCTTGATACGGACATTGGTTGATAATAGCAAATGGAAAAAATTAATAAAGAATATTATTGTCTTATCATGCAATGTAGTAGGCATCCTGTGGCACTATTCTCTTATCCAACTTATTTACAGTACTGCTGAGTACATTATCAATAAATATTACAGTATTTATCTTATTCAATCTTTCATGGCACCCAGCAATTATTCAGGGTATGAGTCCTGTCACACGTGAGTTTCAATGAAGGAGTGTGTATGTGTCAGCATTGGTGCTGAGGATGCAATTTCAGAGGCTCCGTTTTGAGATTTCACAGCAGCACTGTACTCACAAATGTCCAGGAAAAACTCATAGTTCTTTAGTTTCCAATCTTTAAACTTCTTTGATGTTAAGTTGGGATCATCCAGAAGACTGTTGATAACAGCAAGGTCCCCTTCCTTTGCCTATCAAATTCCAGAAAGACAAAGTACATGTCAAAATGAAACTTACGCCACATTTTGTCTTTTGTCACTTTATTTCTTCTTTCATTTTAATGCAAAGGGTTAGGGAAACTGCTATGGACATGTGACACTTTCACCTACATTCAGGAACTTTTAGAGCCTAAACTGAGAACCAGTCACGTGCCTATGAAGAGTGCCAAATTATTTACTTATTTATTTTCCTTAAGCTGGAACATGTTTGTTTTCAAGTGTTTTTCATTTCTTTGGAACTTAATTCTGAAGCTCCAAAGAAAGCCTCATCCGTGGGAAACATTTATACTTTCATTAGTTTATGTTGCTTATACACAAAATTAGTGATAAAGCCTTACTTTTAAAGTGCTCTTGAGAACTCTGATGTGGTGCAGCTTTTCATTGATAACTGGATCATTGCATCGCTTTACAAAAGACTTGCGGAACTCCTGCTTGGTGGAAGGACGCTGCTCTCCAAAAGCTGACAAACTGGCTTGTTCCAGAGACTTGTAGAGCTCTTGCAGACCATCTGTATTTTCTCCTATTTCCTTTACATTTTCTGAAAGAAAGAAGCCTAACAATCAATCTAATGATTCAGGTGAAGTTTTTAAAGCCAGCAAGCGATACTGCAAATTCAGTCATAACAGTCCTCTAATTTTTGTTTTGCTAAAACAAGAACATTTTGATCAGCCCCAAAGCTATGCTCTTAGCATTATATCCAAGGATTTCAAGTACAAACTCCTGTTACATATATTTGCCAATATAAAACTGTTCAACAACAAAAACCTTGCTGAGAGTAATGGCAATATTGCTCTGGCTTTCAACAACATTCAGAGGGTCAGAACATCTGCAAAAGCTTACCTTCTGCACAGAAACTATTATGCCTTCTAATAGGAAATTTCTCTTCTAGCTTGTCATCTGTTCCTTCTATGGACTTTACATGGCCCTTACCCCTCACGTCTCTGTTTCGGGGAAGGCTTTGACTACGCTGCTGCTGTGGCCTGCTGTGAGAGCTATGTCCCCTTTGACATTCCACCAAAGGGAAGGGCCCATCCTGCTCATAATTGTGCCGTCTCTGGACTGGTAGCGTTGCTTGTCTTCGTCTGTCTGGTGACATTCCAGGCTGGCCACTCATGTACTCTGCATCAGGAGGAACAGTCTGAAGAAAATGGAGCCCTGAACTGGTTAGTGGAGTCTCTATCAGATCCTGCCACGAGCGTCTCTCTCGGTAGGGAGGTCTGCATCCCGATGAGTGGGTGCTTCCTGCTACATCTTGCCGAGAATCCTCAGCAGAAGAATGAGAATATGTTGATTCACTTGAAAAGTGTCGACCTTGTTTGACTTCAGGGAATGGACTTGAAGAATTCACCTGAAGAGATACAAAAGTACCTGACGATAAACCAATGGTTTAGACAGACCCAAGAAATGACTGTAGTGTAGAACGTTATATGATACACACTAATAGAATGGTCTTATATGTGTGTTTTGGTATGTCATAATATGAACCTCTGTAAACAGAATATAATTAGCAGTGAGCACCTTTATGCCAGTGCTATGTTTTAACCACTCCCTATTCTTGTTTTACACATTCTCTGCCCATGAGCAACTCCTGCTGGAAAGACCAGTATAATCGTGGTACAGATTTCCTGAAGACCCATCCAATTTGTGCTCAGTCCAGCAGTATGCAGTGAAGACAAGAAAGTCCTCAAAAGAAACTATAATTGGATTTATTCATTTTAGGGAATAAGTATCCAGCCAAATAGGAAAAAAACCCCACAACCGAAACAACTTCAGCACCCAGGGGGACTGCTGAATTCTCAAATTATTTTAGTTACTTCTGCTGGGTCTTTATAGAATTTTAATTCAAAAACAAAGAGAAAGGCAAAAATGTGGAAAAACAGAAAGGGAGGGGCTTAACCTGTATCTCAGTTGATAAAACAGCATCACATGGGTGAAAATCAGTCTGAACTTCACCCATGTGATGCTGTTGTCTCAGTCACTCTTTCTTTGGTTCTGGCTGTATGAGGATCGTGTCATTCACGCTGAAGAAAAATCTGAAAGAAAAATAGAGAACAGTCCTATCTGCACTTAGAAATACAGAGTAATTATCACAGCTTGTCTATGTTCCATACAATAGACATGTTCTTATTTGCTGCTAGAGCCTCTTCGTATACAAAATGTTTTTTTTGCCTCAGTTATCAAACCCTGTCTGCACACAATATATTAGAAGTACTTTTATCAGCTCCTTCACATCTTCTGACTATCAGAAGATACTGTCACTACTATGGTATTGGACACAATGCTTCATACTGTAAATAAGCTGTTGCCTCTAAAGATATGTTCCTTAAAAATATGCTTGTACTAGAACAGGATCACTCACGAATGTGATCTGTCTTAATCTCTAGCATCTGGTATCCAATATTCATGCTCAGAAAACAGTCTCAGTATCCCATCCACCACATTCTTTTCATATTCTGCAGAAAAGCCAGTATTTGACTATTAGTAGGTATAGTCTCTCAAATCCTATAAAGGTCACATTCACAGTCTGGTGACATATCTGTGTAAGGAGACATTTACCACAGCTTTTTTTTTTGCAATTGGATTGTTAAGGAAGCATCTGGGTCTTAGTTTATGATGAACAGCAGTAATTTCATTCTTACAATGAGATTCATCTTTGCTCTGCCTTGATGGCAATTAAATATTCCAAACCAAGGAAAATGCAAATAAAGGCACATACATTTTTTGGTGACCTACTGTCAAATGCAGTATTTATAACTCACTGAGGGTGTTCGATGATAGCTGTCACATAGTGTTGAAGAGCCTTCCTGCTTCAGGGTCAGAGAGCCATCAATGTCATCCTGGTCGCTTTCACTCCAGTAATCTGCTAGCAAAGCATTCTGGGTTTCACTCATGTGCTTTAAATACCATTAGCATGCAAAGGTAAACTTTTCACAGTCGCCTAGGTGTTTGGCAGTCGCTAAGGAACAGACTCGTGAAAGTGTCTGGCACACTGATAGTAGAATCACCATCAAAGGTTTTAGGGTAGTGTTACAGAAAGCAGGATAGGCACCTAACTACCACCATACGTAAAAACCACCTTCTGATCACAGATTTTCAAAGAGAAGCTTCATTCTAGTTGTCGAAGTAAAGTTGAACCTCAACACTTCATTTAATTATCTCAGCATAAGAGCTTCCACCATCGGTAGTGGTGAAAGAGGCAAGGCTGGCACCTGAGCTCAGGAGATGCAAAACCAGTTCTAAAGCAGTGACCTGTGTTTGTCATGTCTTCACTTGCTCCAAGGTGATGAGCAAACCCGATGGCTGCGACTGGGGAGGTCATACTTCACCCTCAACTTTGCATTCTCCTTATTGCTGGTTTTAAACAGTTTCAAGAATTTTTGCTCAGGATTTTATTTTCTGTGGTGGCAGCACCAGTAAATACAGTGCTTCGAGGACAGGGATTCTTAGGAAAATGGATTTTTTAAAAGATATGGTTAATAAAGGAGACATTTATGACATCTCCAACTTTTTGTTCAAATAATGAACAGATATGTACTCTCTGCTTTTTTCTCCCAATTATATCTGAAGCATTACCTTCATCTGGATGAATATCCTTGTCATCAGGTGTGTAACCAATTGCTGCGAGGCCCAAACGATTCATCCATCTAAGAGAATAAAAAATGAGTAAGAGAGATACTTAAAAGGAACATTGAGTGTAAATCTTAACACATTCTTAACATTTGGAAAAGTCAGAGATGATGTTTAGCCCAGGAACTGAACACTGTTAAAATCATGATTCAGCTGTGTTCAGTGGTTAATTATTTCAAGTGAGGGATGTTCCAGTTTGAGTACAATGCAGCTGTACCTCTGGGCTTCCGTTCACATCTGCTAGAGGATGTTTGTCAAGCGGAGTATCAGATTCATTGCATTTTATTCTGCTGCATAGAAAACTGAAGAATCATGATATCAAATCTTCCTTACATCATCATCATCAAGACAATATGAAGCATATGCACTAACACTCTAACTTTAGCACTGACTGAATGAAAGTTTAGAATAATCTGTGTAGAACAGAGAGCATCCACAGTCTCCACATCAAGCAGACTCAAATCCTCTCTAAGCTGCATCTGCAAACTGTTTGTATGTAATGGTTTCCAGAGGCATTGCATAAAGGAGCACATTGCATTTATTGTGACTGCTACTTATATTAATTTCAGGAACTTACCCTGAATTGGAAAAAATGCTATCAAATAAAACAGAGTTATGAAAATAATTGTATTAGGAAATAAGTTGTATTAAATGTGTAGAATCAAAAACCTAAAGCAGACAGTGACAGTATTCCACTGGTTATTTGCTACTCTAGATTCATGCTACAGGTGATGTAAATGTCAAGGCTTGTTGAGCTGCGATATCAATATTATTTTGCTTTGATTTTTTTCACATAAAATCTTAGGTTTCTGAAACAAGAGTTGGAATGTTGAAAATACTTCAATATTTGCATTTTATGTTGGATGTTCTGGTTTTTTTCTTTGTCCCAAAATTAATTAGTTTGGACAAAACCAAGATTCATTGTTTCATTAGGAAGCATGTAGTATATTTTGTATATAGTATAGTAAGTTTTGGGGAAAATAACTGTAGAGTTTTCTTTACATAACATTACAAGATATTTATAAAATATATAATTAAAAGACAATAGAAAAAGAAATGAACACACAGAGGGGAAAGCCACTTCTTAATGTTAAGCAAATGGAAAATCAAGAATTGCCCTATTTTCATCAACAAGGAAACATAACCAGAGAAAAGAGCCCTATTAATAGACATATGCAACGATGGGGATCCATTCTTAACTGTTCCCTTCACAGTGACTAAAGTATTTACTATGTTATCCATTTCCTAGTATGTTGCACGTAAGGTAATCTTCAGAAGCAGTTCTTTTTTTCCTTAACATTGCAACATGAAACTTGTTAATTATTATGTTCTTTGTTAATGAATCTTATCATGACAAAAACATCTTTCAAAAGCTTCAAGAAACACATAAGCAAATAATACACAGTATAAGGACAAGATTTTTGCAGATTAAACCAAGAAAACTATTCAGTGTAATTCTTTCCCATTTGAACAGAAAAAAGCTTCTAAGGATACAGGTGAATGTGTTATTGATTTAATAGTACAGTGTATGGAAGGTGGCATACACAGTAGGGAGAGAAGATGAGACGGATGAGTGAATTCTCCACTAAAAATAGCTCGCAGTTCAGCATCTATTGATCTCCTGGTCTAGGCAACGCGTGGCAGTTGCTCAGAGCAATGATCTTAATCTGTAATATTGGATATAACACTGACTCATTGCATGGCCTTCAGCAAACCGTTCTACTTATGTTACGACTTTCATAAGTATCCAAAGGGGACAACAACATTTACTTCTCACAAGGAATTGTTGTAGGGTTTAATTTATTTGCAAAACTATGAACATATAAAGATTGTACAATAATATTGTTTTGCATTTCAGTATTAGAACAGAAGCGAGCAGGTTGGAAATAGAAATGGAAATGCTGATTAGTTTTCACAAGGGCAGGGTTAGAACTGCTTACAGAGAGATTGTTTGCATTGGCATATCAATAACTTATCTTTATCACAAAAAGAAGTAAATTGCAAGTGGATTAACAGGTTTGCAGAAAAGATTTTCTACAGTGCTCACCGGTCTAATTTCGTTCCACAAACAGCAGGCTGATCACTTGACATTCTCTTGAAAGACGTATTCTTTATTGCAGCAATTGAAATGACATCATCCCCTTGCTCATTATTAAGCATTTGTATTCACTATTTTTTCAACTGTTGTTCCTGAATTTCTAAACTCATTAGCATTGGAACAGAATAGTTTTAGTCATTCTTTACCATATGCCTTTGGCAATTAAGCAGAATGCCTGAGCAGCTTCACCTAAGGCTCTGCTTAAGCACCAGTGATAAATGAAGGCTCATTACCATTTTCAAAGTTAAAGCAGATTCAGCTGTTTCGGTGGTCAGTGCATGGAAATTTATATTGTCTGAAATTTCTTGCCAGATTTATCTTGTTGCTCATTGTTAATTTGAGATTTTTAGATCTTGGAAGCATATATAGGTAACAGCCAAAGTGTTAATACTAATCTTCAAGAGAACATGGATATTCTTAGCATACACAGACTATCAGCTTTATTCATATGGTCTCCAATGTAACTTCTCTAAGACTGCTCAGATTTTTCTCTTCCAGAGGGCCAGAAGATCCCCAGCTATAGTTACAAGTATTTTCTTACTTCATTTTACCACAATTTAGAGTTAGCTCTTTGTCAAGACAACAAAAAGGGTTATCTGATGACATTCAGTGGCTTATAATGCTAAACTGTCTTCTGATAAAAGAAAAAGAATCTCAATTTGAGTTTTTGTGTTTTTTAAAAAAGCATGGATGAATGTTTTTGAGGTTAATCAGGGGTTATAGAAGTGCTAAGATTACACATCCTTTTCTTACAGTTAACATCAAATGCAAGCTCAGTTCAAAGGAAAGCTATGTAAACTTGATGAATTTACTTGATGAGCAAACCACTTCCATTTTTAATAAAACAGGTAGTCAAGGTTATAAAAAGTTCTCCGTGGAAAGCTTGGAAACTCAGCTGTTTGGTTCTGAACTCTTCATTGAATGCCTTGTAGGAGTATGTGTCAGAACTGGACTCTACGGTGTAGATGACTCTGTGCTTAATTGAAGGTCACGCAATGCAAGACTCTGTGCTGCACGTGACAAGCAGCTATAGTGAAAAAACCCCAGAAGATATTTGTCTAATTAGGTTTATACAGCTATATCCCAATAGCTTTTCGAACTTCATGTGGTCATAAAAAGACACGAGATATTCTGGCAGCTACATGCACAGCAGTCTTACATGCACGTCTCTATGTATCTTGCCCCCCTGAGGCAGAAAGTTAGACTCCTCTTCCCCCAAAAAATTCTGCCTTTTTTCTTGATGATTTCAAATATTTTGTTCTGAAAGTTAAACAACTTCAACAGCACTTTTCACTGAATCAGTTGTGATGACATGGAGCTGTACTAAACATCCCAAGGATACTTTGCTACAACATTTTGATGCAAGGAATAGTAATGGACTAAGGAAAGGGTTAAGAGTTTTCTTCAAACTGCGTATTGATTGTCTTAACTTAGTATAGGGAACGGGTATGTTCTTGTTCTTGCTAGTTAAACTATAACCCAGAATAGAATGGGTAACCAAAACCCATTGTTTAACATCAGGGAACCTTTTCCCTCAAGAAGATGAATGTCTGACAGGAACCTTTTTCAACTGGTCTTTAAAAGACTTGAGGTTGCCAGCTGGGGAAACTGTGCCAAGGGTGAAAAGTGCACAGCGAGGAAGACCTCTTACTTCATCCAGAAGACCCTGGCCCGAGACCACGATATGGCAGCGTGCAGGCGTAGAGGGGAGGGGAATGGTATGAACGAGTTCTTGGAACTAATTGTAGTCAACTCCTCCTATGCTTGTGAAATCTGATGAATATGGATGTTTGTGTGTAATGAATACCTAGCTTGTTGAGCTCTCGGTGTGTGAGTTAGGAGGAGTGAACCCCCTCGCACTGCAATAAGCATACCTGCTTTATAACTCTTTGTGAGTTATGAAGTTCTAGTCCGTAAGTCAACTTTACTTTTAATATTGTACAACATCTCTATAAGATGTGGTATCTGTCTTACTGAGGTACATTGTAATGACTTACAAGGGACCAACAAGTGTATTAATTATTTTTTATTGACTGTAACTTACTGAACCACATGCAGGAAAAGATAAGTTTCAAGTGTTGTCATCTAAGCACATAAGTAAGTTCTGTACTTGTCTCAATGGTTTAAATTCTAAATAAATCAGACTTGACTTTAATTAATTCTGTTAATTAGAAACAGGCACTGTTGTCGTTGCTTTGGGATAAAACAGAGTTGCATTGTAGGAAGTTAAGTTAAATTTACTGAGTTAATTCTGGTTACTACCAGGGGATTACAGCCCAGAGTGTCTTTAGGGAGTCTGATTCTATCCCAACGCCTGGCAAGTGATGATTACAAAGGCACTGAGGGCAGTGATGAACTAAGTAGCTGTTGCAATAATCAAGACTTGGTACAAAAGAGTGAGTCATGCTTGAAATGCCCTGAATTGTCAGGAGTCAGGAGCACATTGTCTTACTGATCATCTGATAAAAACACTGGAAAATGCAGAAGAGGACCAAACAACTGGGGAAACAGTTTTGCATATCTTCACTGTCCTAACACACTGTATTAAAAATGAGAGTATGCTATTACTCATTGTACAAATGCAGGAAGTTTCTGTTTAGTGCTTCTTATAATTTACTCCTGCTGAGTGTGGAGATGAGCTGGTCCAAGGTCAGTGTGAGGTTCTGGGACTGAAGGCAATGATAGTTTTCATAGTGGCATCACACTTTACCCACTTGGCTATTCCTTCCTACAGCTTAGAGTGAAATAGTGTGAGTAAAAAAGCCAAAACAACTTGGACAATCTCAGTTATAATAAATTTGAGAGAACAATTACATTTAGTGATGAGAATGAAAACCAGAGGCAAAAGGGTAACCATCTTTCAAAGAAAGATGTGTGAGTCTGTAATTTTTAAAGTTATAGTTAAAACCATTCCATAAA